AACAGGCGTTCAACTACAAAAGTGTCTAAAAAAGAACTTGTCAACGTACAAGATGGTTGAAATGTCTCTCCCCTATTTTGCATACCTTATAGCAATTTTTCCCGTTTTTTGTTAAGTATTTTGTACCGTGAAGTTGGTATTTTACCAACTTCACTTCGTTAGAGACAAGCTAACGGAGGATCCATTTGGTAGCACGATTTAAAAATCGAAGATTCGTAGTGGCCGTTATTCGAAAGTGCAGAAGTTATAGTGACGAGACTGCAACTCGATTGCTTGCTCATTTTATTTTGGCAAAACTCGCTGAGTTGCATCACAAGAGAATCTAATATCGCACAGAGATACTGAGCATAGATGTTCCTGTCAGATGTTTTGGTTCCGATTCATTCTGTTTCCAAGAAATAAGTATTTTTTAGTTGGCTCTTTCAGGCATGAGTCTACCGGCTCCTATTAGATGCGAACACCAATGTCAACAAACACCTTCAAACCAAACCAAAGAAAGAGACTTTTTTTTGACGTCGATACCATTCGAGACGCAGGAACCAGCCTTTAGCAGATCCTCCTGACTCCACGATCCATCCGATTCGCACGTGACATTGACTGAATCCGCGATCGCGAGACTCAATATCATGCCGCTGGGGCACGAATATTTCACCGCCGTCCCATGCGATCTCGGCGTCATCTGCAAAGAAGTTTCCGTTTGGTTATGCCGGATCCCTTTTGCATCTAATAGGGGTTCCCCTTGGCAATCGGATCAGAAGCCCGTGTACGAATTCAAGAAATTATATCACGAAAGTACTTCATCTGAACCAGAAATTCCATCTCATTGCGTTAACCTCAAAGTTTTACCGACATTTTACGCGAAGATGCGAGAGATCCATATTTCGCTTTATTGTTTTGAACGTTTTGTCTCGACTGTGACCGTGCACGATAGATCTGGATTTTGATTTATGCTGACATTTCATTTGGAACCGATTCCTTTGGCAGTGATGGTCTAACAAGAGGAATGAACTCCGATCTCACCCGTTGAACCCAGTCGCTGTGAAGGCTTCCTGTGGCCTCTGGCGGGTCCGACAGGCATGTCTCATCTTCCACGCAGGGAAAAAAAAAGTAAAATATTTATCATAATAAATGTATTGATTTATTTCTATTTGTTTCTATTTGTTAATAATAAATAGAAACAAGCTTAGAAATCTGGATTTTCACGATTCATCGAACTCACTCGAATGAAATTCGCAGATGACCTTGAACTTGGCCTCGGTGCAATTCCTGTTCTCGACCGTGAATCCCGAGGAAGTGCTCTTCAATCGATAGCACAAACCCTCGACGGAATTGGTATCGGTGAAATTATCTTCTTTGAGGGCCAAGGCCTCGGGGTCGCATACTGGCTCTCCGTCCGCCCATCGCCGGATCCCGTCCGATCCCGTTCGCATCCCGAT